GTGATGAGGACATTAGACATGTCTTGGGTCAGTTGTCCCCCGATGTTTGACTGGTGGATTATGTCTAATCTTAAAACAGAAGACACTTAGTAAATGGCGTAAGAGAGTAGTGTAATAATGGTGCTTGGCCCGACATGAACCAGGAATGCAACAGCTACCAAAATGTCCCAAAGACACAGATAAGCTGAGATCTATACGTTGATCTAAATCACAAATACTCAGAGATGTATTTAGGTTTAAGAGGCGATCTCGCTCGTCTGTCTTTGTATTTTAGATTCATTTCTGTCTCTTTGACCGTTTAAAAGTTAACTACATCTATTCATCCGCTGTTAGATGAGTTTAAAATCCAAACTAATCCAGACACAGCGGGAACTCTGGTTCAGAGCCCAGTGTGAGTACATGCATTGTGGGCATCTAACCTTTTAAGGGCAGCTGTGGAGGAGTGTGTCATCCACTAAACCAGGGGGTTGGTGGTTCGATCCCCGGCTTCTTTAGTCTGCATGCCCGAGCACTGGATGAATGTGTGTGTTTGTGTGTCACTGAGCCTGGCCAAGGTTCCTCTGGGATCTGACAGTCTCATTACAACATCCCCACACACCCTCACCACCTCCTCCTCCTCCTCTTCTTCTGATCTGAAGTGACCTAGAAACTCCATGTGGGTCAGAAGTAAACCCTGAGCTCCACCCGGACAAAAAGTGTATTCATATCCATCACGTCTCCGTCTCTTTCTTCAACCACCCACGAGAAAACCATAGTAATCATTCTCCTTCACCATCTTGTTTTTCTTCTTCTGCCTCTCTCTTTTCTATCGACCGACCTCTCTCTCACACAGACTCAGACTCAAACCTCCCGTGAACCGGCCGATGGGTTCCCACACTTTCATCCTCACCGCCTGCATCTTAGCAAGTCTCTCAGAGAACAGTTACAAAGCCAGCGGGTGCCTTTGCTGCCATCTTCTGTCCATGAACGAGTATAGAGTAAGAGTTAGTTGCTTTTTTCTAGGCTTGGCTTAATAATGAAAAGTATTTAAGTATAATGACATTTCGGGGAAGAGTGACTTTATTGCTAGAGGAGCGACCTTGAAAAAGCAGGTGTGGTCGAAACGTCAGCCACATATTCAAATGATGGAGCTCATGCGTGTCATTTTAATTTTCAGGATGATGGTGTCAGAAGTTTTAATGCAGCTTCAGAGATCTGTGACTAGGGCTGCAGATTCTTACCAGAGTCCAAATTAAAATACAGTTGAAATGTAATTGACCAAAATAGATATTTATGACATTGATTTAAGTATAAATAATCTTATTGTTGATTCCAACTGGTTTTATATTGCCTCCTTGTCTGCGAGTGAACTTTGACGTAACAACTCACTGAATGTTATCATTCGTTATCTAATATTCAGTCAGTATAGGAATCGTGTTCTTCTACCTGGAAGCTGTAACTGATTCTCCATGCAACATTCTCTCCTCTTACAACTCCTGGTTACATTTTCATTGCTGTTAGGCCCGCTCCTATTTTATGAAGCATTCTACCGACTTCAAAATTTAATTTCCCGAATGGTGTTCCTCAGTCAGGCTCGACAAATTAGTCACAGCATTGTTTCATTTTCATCATTTCAACAGTAAGTGTGCATTGTGTAGCTGGTGTTCTGTCAGGATAAGGGTTGTGTATGGGAGGAGGGGATAGAGTGATAGAAATGAAAGAGTGAAAGACAAGGAGGGTCAGTTTGTAATACTTGGAGGAAGAGGAAGAGACTAGGTGAAGCCACAAGAAAAGAAATGAAGTGAGTGCAAAGGAGGACATGTGACTTGGTATGGGTGAGACAAATTCCTTCCTGTTTTTTCATATGGACACAAATTCATCTTGGTCATCGCTCAGTTATGAAATCATACCACACCCCAGAGTGTAACTCTCCTGCAGGGCTGCTGACAGCGCTGTCAGATGGTGTTAACTCGGAACAACACCTGACACCAAGCACAGGAGCGGCCAACAGAAACAAGACGCCCTGCATGGGGACATAATTAAACGGTTTGGAAAAGAAACAGCCAATAGGAAAGGTCCAACACTCAGCTGACCGACCAATGGTGTAACTGGATTACTCAGAAAACGTGAAGAGAAATCGAGAAAACAAAGATGGAAAGAAGTGAAGAGAGGTGCGGGGTTCATACAAGCTAAACACAATATAAGAATTCGATCCTAATCTATAAGATTTCCACATGAGCTTTATATGAACCTGCTTTTTCTAGGTGTTCCCCCGGTTTTACATAACACACAGGGGTCCTAAGGGTGCAGCTGTCCACAGCAGCGCTGGAATCTATACCTGCCTGTCTGCTCCAATCAGGATTAGTGTTCAGGGGCCTGTGTCTAGCCAAGGAATGATGGGTAATAGCAAGGTGGTTATGGACGTGCGAAGCATGGCAACAAGGCGGACAGTGTTACACACACACACACACACACACGTGTAGATGCCTGTACACACCCGCTTTAAGGTTGTCAATGTTGATCATGTTGAAGTATATTAAAGAAAATGTAGAAAAGAATACAGACGTGGTTTCACACACACACACACACATTCCCTTAAGCCAGACTTCATGTTCAAGACACCACAAACATGTTTTAAGAGGCCACTGTTCGACCATCTAAATCAAATTTGAAAAAAGTCCCTCAAGGCGTTCTTGAGATATCGTGTTAGAAAAATGGGACGGACAAATCCACAACCTGAAAACATAACGCCTCCTCCCCTGTCGCACAGAACAACTTAAAAACTAATCATGAAAGGATTTGTGGTATTTTGTGTATAATTAAAAGTGCTTTAAATGTGGACGTCTGGATACATGGCAACATTACATCATAAAGTATATATGTATATATGTCAACTATGTGCAGTGGGGCCTTCAGCACAGAGACAGATAGCTAGATTTAGCTCCTGTCAGACGTCCAGTCATCCGGGTAAAATATGACAAGGAGAGAGAGAGAGAGAGAGATGAGGTCATTTAAAAAGAGAAATCCAAGTTTCACCGGGAAAGAATGAAGAAAAACAGAGAGACATGAAAAGACAGATGGAGAGAGGGTGAGGAAAACTGAAAGCAATGGAAGAGGGGAAGTTGGAAAAAGGGAGTGAGAGATGGACAGAGAAGATAGAGAGGAAGGGGGAGGCGTGGCAGCCCTCCAAAGAAGGTTATCTGACACCATGCTGCAGCCGACCAACAGGCCAGCTGACCGCTATTTCCAGCATGAGATGACCCACCAGCTGTACCCGGGGAGGACAGGGAAGACACACACACGGAGAAGAGAGAGAGAGTATGTGTGAGAGCGAGAGAGAGAGGGGAGAGAGAGAGAGACGGGGACGCAAGGTTTTATTTAAGCAGACAGAAAAAAGTTATTTACACAGACAGAGAGACAAGATGAGAGGAAATTCACCTCCACCTGTCCCAGACTCTGTCAACTTTACCGTCCATCTGTCCGTCTCAGTCATTCTGTTTGACTCAGTGGACAATTATAGGTCACCCAGTATTTACAAGTGCTATAACGGGAGATAAAACCTCCACGGCCTCCGACTCATCCCAAAGCGCCGAGAGGCACACAGACAACACTTTCACCTGGGACGGTTTTAGCCCAGGGAGTGGCACGGGTGGCGAGTTAGCCTGGAAACATTTGTGATGTGGAGCGAGAAAGTAAAGTCTGGCCTAAACTAGAGCTCAGCTCAGAGTGTCGGGCAGAAACGTTGCAGGACAGTTCGGGGATTTGACTAAAGAGGTGGAATTACGTGAAGTAAACACGCTGCATGTGGAATTTCACAAGGTATAAATAGCCTCAGCAAACAGGATTATCACATCAGTGGGAGCGGCAGCATTTATGGACTTGTTGTATGCTTCCATGATCTGCTTTGTGGTTCAAGGACACTGGACTACTTTATACTCATACCCCACTGCATTTCAGAGGTTTCAGACTCTTTAATATTCTAATACTTTACTTTAAAAGCATATTATTATAAAAGAACCGGTGGAATCCAAACTTTTTGACATGTAATCTGTGTATTTGGAGTCACGTATTTCTCCTCTACAGTTTTCCGATGGTTCAATAAAAACAACTGAAGGTCAGAGAGGTAAAAAATACAGTATTGTACAAAATACTTGTTGAATTGTAACTTTTACATTAAAAAAATACAGAAGCTGCACAGTGTCAAACTACCTGACAAAATGAAGCAGTGTTTGGTTTTACCTAACTTTATTATCTTTTATTTACAGCTTTTTTTGTAGTATTTGCTCATTTGATGCCAAATAAAAATCATTTAGTGACTATTTGGCTCTCCAATATAATAGGCATGGGTTACTCCTTTTATTTAGCAGGAACCTGCCGGAAATATAAACTGTAGTATGAACGTCAAAATTTGTTTTTTTTACTCCAAGTTGAATCTGACAGCAGCGAGAGGATGCAAAGTGTCTAAGCACACCCACTCTAAATCCCCCAAAGCAATCACTAGTAATTTGACAACGTCTAAGAGTAAACACATGAAAAACAGCTCATCCAATCCACACACTCACACACAGCAGTGTTCTTCCTCAGATCTGCAGCATGTCCCTGTTCACTTAATTATAAGCACTGAAAATGGAGCCATGTGGCGACAGAGTCTGTCTTTGTAATCACACATCATCACAATTACATCTGCCACATGCAGGCAAGCGTGCAACTCTGACTTTTACCAATTTCTTCCGTGACATCTGCACTAAACAGCAGCCTGGGTGGAACCGTTAGAAGGTGTGCTGCTCAACAAGAGGAGGAGGATGCACAATATAATATATCTGATAACTGTGTTGATAAGATCAGATCCTCATGTCAGGGAGGGAGTTTCTGAGGTGTTGGCAGTGGTTGCATCCTCTGCAGGGCACTTCTGCATGAGTGGACAGAGGGGTCTTTAATATTACATGGACAAGCATCTGGTCTGCCTGGGGTGGGCACATCAACACACACACACACACTAGAGGAAAGCTCTGATCTCCTACCTGATCGACACTTGATGATCTCCCCAAACTCATCCTCCGCCGGCTCATCGCAGTAGTCCTCGGGGCGCACTCCCTCCGCCATCGATGACAGGGCACCGGGTGTAAAGACAAAAAAAAAAAAAGTTAATGACCAGGAGGGTGACTGAACCAAACAAGTAGGTTAGATCCACCGGCAGAAGCGGAGAGACACCCAGAGAGCAGATCCACAACACACGGCCAGAGGCAGAGCGCACGGCTCGGACACGGGTACGGAGCTCCGGGGTGGAAGGCAGGAGCAGGAGGAGGAGGACCGGCCGGTCTGTCACACTGGGGCAGACGGAGAGGAGCAGGTGTGCGGGCAGGGGGGGCAGATGGGAGCATTCCCACCTCTAAATAGGAGCAGGGTGCTCCGAGGTGGCGCTGCGCCGGGCTCCCATTCCTTTTGACGGACGCCATGCGTAAAATGTGACACCCGGCGGTGGCACGATTATTTCCGTGCACAGGGAGGATGAGGAGGCAGCGACGCGTCAAGGTGAGTCACCCAGGATACCAACTTTCACCTCCGAGTGAGTAGTGGTCACGTGACAGGTCACAGTCAATGTAAACAAAGTGATATTTCTGAATGAGTCTGTTCAAAAGTAAGTTTAGTCTGGATCAGTGTTCACTTTGATGCTCGCTGGTTTGGGAAGTTATAACTTTGTGATGTTCATGAGTTGAAAACAGAAAGTGATCAGCTCTCCAGTGAGTGACCTGTCCAGTGGAGGATCTTGGATTTTTCTATATAAGGGGCCACAACTATTCAAAGAGGGGCCAACATCCATGCACACCTCCTGATTCAGCACAGCCCACAATTAAGGGCCTGGGTTGCACACATGAAGCGAACGATGCAGGTCAAAGTTCACCAGAGTTGAACACGTGAAGCCGGTGGTCCATGTTTTATGTTTCATGGGTTGCACTGTCCTGCATGTTTCCACAGACATGTGTCTATCTGTAATGAACTGACTGTGAAAATGTACTTTCCCTTGGGGACATTAAAGCCAAAAGCCGTCCTGCCACTTGCTTCACCACAATAAGTTTATTCATGTTTTACCCCCTCACTCGCAGAGATTGGAGGCAAACGTAAGCTGCTGCTCTGTCACTGACTCATTTGTGTATTTTTGTCCCTGGATCAGTCCCTGGACCAGTTGTTTTGAAAGTCTTCAAACCATCACATGAGGCCTCTGTTACCTCAGATGCAGAAAATAAAGACCCTCCTCTCTGGTGGGAAAGTGCCCCCTTACTGTAGTTAGCTGTTACAGACCTATTAATATCAGATCTGTGGATAAAGTAATGTACCCACTCTGGGTTTCCAGGAGCTGGACATGCTTTACTGTAATGGCTCCATTACAACACTGTGTGGCACGCACTTAAGACCGTAGAGCTATTAATAGACATGATGATATGATGGATCCGGGCGCTGCTCTGGTCTCAGTCTCTCGGGTTATTCATAAGAACTGAGAAGCCTGCAGGGGGCCTGAGCTGTGAGTGAATGAAGAGTTCCAGAAACAGACACGTCGGGCCTAGCTGGCATTCCCAGGCATGCAGCCGCCGCCGGGACGGACCAGGTGCTGCTGTCTTCACATGGAGGGTTGGTGTTTGTGGGGGGGTGGAGGTTACATGCACTTACTGTACGTCGCTCAGCTGCTCCACTCAGGGATGTTGAGATGATGTAAACCTGTTGTTGTTTTGTGTCATCTAGACTGATTTGACACCAGGAGGAGAAGTTTCCAGTTTCACCTCTGACCCCACCAAGCATCACTTGTAACCATGGTAACAGTGAGGTCAAAGTTACTCTTTGAATAAATTATTTATTTTTTCCTCCTGACCTCAGTAAAGTGAACTTTCATTTACCCTAAAAAAAACCTGACAGAATGTTTTTTGTGTGTGTTGTGTTTTCTTATTTACCGGTTTTTTTATTTGCACCTCTGGGCCACCGTACTAATTCCCATCAGCCCTTTAGACGGGACTGCAACAACACTGTCCCACGGAGACTGACAGCAGGCTCATATGTAAACATCTCACATGGATGTCGTCAGTGGTGGCTTCTGGGAACTAAATGAGAAGCAATGCATTAGTCAAGCATTAGATGCTAATGTTTACTGTACAAGGAGGTCACCTAGAAGAAATCAACATACCCCAATATCTAATGCAAACAGGAAATTATACAATTCAGCTTTTTGTTATAGAAATGTACAGCATACAATGAAAGTACCAAATATCAAAATATATTCTGTAAACTCAAAAAACATTTTAATACACATGGTGACGTTACATACTCCTTCCAGACATGTTGTACTTGATATAATAATACGTGTCAATTCCTGCATTAGTTTTTCCATCACGCTTGTGTAACTTGCACCAGAATCAGCTTCCAACTTGTTGTGATGTCAAAAACCTGCAGGTATGTCCATTTAAACATCCAAGAGAAGGAACAATGAGCAAAACCCATTCAGAAGTGGAGGCGTACTTTAATTTTGTGACATGCCTGTAGAGAATCATGGATTAAAAACACACTGGCACAGTTTGTACAGCTGGGGGCAGTGTAACCACAGGTTAGAGAGTGCAGTCTCTTCTGTGAACTGGGACAGAGAATCCTGGAAAGATGTTTTCTGAAGTCTTCTCCCTCAGGACAGAGAAAACACAGAGCTGCAGCTGATTCTAAAAAAAAAAAACTACATGAGAGGTTGACACCATTCAGTGTTGCATTGTTTGTGATGAGGAGCGTTAGTCCAGGTTGACAAGGCGTGCAGCTCCAGAAGGGGTTTTTGGACGGTGGCTGGAGAGTCCCAGATTGTTCCACTGCTGGAGTCACAGTTCCCCAGGTACAACATCAGCTGTGCTCCAAACTGACCACTCGCTCTACTGATAAATATGTTGCATGAGCAAAGTCCACAGGTGAGGAAGTTATTTTTATTTATTTTTTTAAGGCAATTTAATCGTCAAACACATTTGTTTCAAAATCTGATCAGTAAACTCTCCTCTGGATGTGACTGGTGAAAAAATAACCAAATATGGTATAACAGAAACAAAAGGGGGGGGGGGGCAGCTTCAGGGAGCTGCAGCATCACTACAAACGTTTATGTAACGTGATGAGTTCCTGTCTCTTTCAGGGAACTTGATGTTTCCTGCAGTGAAGTGTGTCTGTCACAGCAGCAATCACAAAGTGCTCCATCTCAAAAAAAATGTATCTGGGGCTCTTTTGTTGCTCACTGGCTGAAAAAATAAAATTAAAACCCCCTCAATATTTGTTTTGTGTTTTCTGGAGAGAGAGAAACTGTTGTTGTGGTCGTTAGTAATTGGCACTTCAGCTCCTTATTGGCAGGAGGAACATAACCTCTAATGTGTTTATTCAGATAAAGAAAGGAAAGTAGTTCTTCTCCTGGAGGAGTCTGGCTTCCTTGGAATGAACTCTTCACGTTCAGATGCCTTCATACAGACTTGGAGAATCCTTTGTATCCAGCCAGGGTGTGCCAGTATGTCGTGACATCACTTAATGCACTTCTATTGTTTTTTTGGCACGTTTTCAATGTGCATATAAAAAATAAAACATTGTGGATATATATTGGTTACAGCTTTGCAATCAAGTTTCAGTATCTACACGAAGCTGGTAACGTATATACATTTGGAAGGAAACCTGACAACTGCTGGGTGTGGTTAAAGGTGCAGAACACCTCGTCTCTGATGCCAAATGTTACTTTAC